AAAAAAAAACAGCTTGGGAAAACAGCTTAGATAGGGCGCAGAAAGATACGGAAGAAGAATCGGGTACTTCCAGAGTACAATGACGTGCATTGTTACGCCGACCGCCCGACTGATCGACGGCGCTGCTGGTCACATGTTGACAACGCACGACAGATTGCGTTCAGGACCGCGTGAGAGGTATCTAACGGTCCAGTGTTGTCAACGCGTGGCCAGCAACGCCGTCGGTCAATTTGTCGGTGAGACAGTGCACGTCGACGAACTTCAAAAGAACCCATTCGCCAACGTACGCACCCGACCAATGCAACGGCGCTGAGGAAGTTGCACCACTCACAAGGGACACCAGTGATGGGTGTTCAAGCTACCAGTCGTGACCCATAGCGACAGTGGAAGGCAGTTCCAGGTATTTTGGCTCAATGTAGCCAGCTCTTTACGCAACCAGACCGAAATCTCGCTCAAATACCCATTCCATAGCATTTGCGTCGTTGTGGTTTCCTACACTACCTATTTTCCTTGCTTCTAACTTCCCATCAACCTTGGCGTCTGACTTAAAAGAGGTACCTCGGAGGTATCGTGAACTGGGCTTCGGATTAAAAATGATGGACTCACTTCATTCCATGGACCGTTTGGGGCGACGATAGGGAGGGAAGTTGGTACAAAAGAATCGTTTCCACTACATCTAAGTAAGAATAAAATCATTCTAAGAACTCTTCCTTGTTTACCTAAGTCTCTTAAATCGAAAAAAGAATTCACCTTCTGCCTATTGTTTTAGATGATGTAGTTGCTATGTGCTAGGGCAGTCCTCATTTCGTAATCGGAGTGGTTTCTTCCATAAATCCGTTGAGGCAGTTTTTGAAGGAGGCTCCGCCGGTGGTGTCAAAGATTGCGTACGGGTATTACTCGGAGATTTCCGCCTTAGTTGATAGTTTTTATAACCTTCCACAAGGCAGTAACTGGCATCATGGAAAGGAGTGGAATTTGCTGCTGACTCCGATGAAATTTTGCTTTCAACTTTTTTCATTGATCGGGACATACTTGTTTTCTTCACCCTGGGTTGAGTGAGGAAAAAGTTGGAATTCGTTATAGCTTTAGCAGGCGACGATTCTCTCGAATGCTTCGCAAAAGATCGAAGAGAACTCTTTCCAATCGCAATCTCAGACGAAACCAGGGCTGAGCCAGGTTCGAGAGATTGTGCAGTCTGCGACGTTATAAAAGAGTTTTCAGATGTGGAAAAGGTAAACTGATTTCTACTATTCTGCTGACTGACTAACTGCCTTCTCTCTGGCTCCGTTATGAAAGGTTGTGCTCTCCTTCTATTTACCGCAGCGGGAGCTGATAGCGTACACGCCATTTCGAT